AAAAGAAATGCTAATTGTGTTTGATACAGTTATCCAGTGCTTGAATCAATTCAGAAATATCTTTGGCCAAGACTCTGCAAGCTGGATCTGGAGACTCTGTAAACTTGTGTTAATTAGAATTTGCATCTCTTAATAATTACAAGAATATGTACCTAGCTTTTGACCAATCCCAGGATATAACTTAACTTATTTATATATATCTTTGGGCACTACAGGTATGAGTTACACTATCAAATGATTACTTTTGGGAAGGTATGCCTTTGCTTTTCCTAGTTAATTGACAGTGAATACTATTATTATTATTATTATTATTATTATTATATACCCTAAACAAGTTTGCGAGTGAGTTTGTTGAAAGAATAATTTTGTGCATATTGGATCCAGGTTTTCTGCACAAAGAGAGAACCAAATTGTAACGCTTGTCCAATGAAAGGGGAATGCCGACACTTTGCAAGTGCATTTGCCAGGTTAGCTACACCTGAATCTTTAAATAGCACACGACTATTTAGAAGAAAAACATATAAATGAATTAAGATCCTCCATGTGTATGATGCAGTGCAAGGCTTGCTCTTCCGGGCCCTGAAGAGAAAAGTATAGTTAGTTCCGCTGCTCCAGTCACTCCCAATAGAAGACCTAATATGATAATCAGCATAGAAAGTGGAAGAGAGTTGAATGGGAGTTGCCAACCATTAATTGAGGAACCAACAACCCCAGAGCCACCCATCACTGAGGTTTTAGAGAGAGATATTGAGGATGCATGTTATGAGGATCCTGATGAAATACCTGTTATAAAGCTTGATGTTCAAGAATTCACCTCAAACCTACACAACGTTATGCAGAAGCAGTTGGAAATGGGAGAAGCTGACATGTCAAGAGCTCTAGTTGCCTTGAGTCCTGAAATAGCTTCTTTACCAATACCCAAACTAAAGCATGTCACTCGACTGCGGACAGAGCACCAAGTGTAAGTTTTGTATAAAAATTCCAAATCCTACTTAGTTTAAAGATGGATTATCACTGCTATTTCTTTCTGCAGATACCAACTACCGGACTCACATCCACTTCTCAAAGGGGTTAGTTGATATCATCTACTTTCAACTACTACTCTGATTTGCAACATGATTTTCATTCGCATAACAATTAAAAATTATGTAGATGGATAGACGCGAAACTGATGATCCAAGTCCTTATCTTCTTGCTATATGGACTCCAGGTAATAAGATATGTAATCTTAATCTTCACATTAAAAACAAGTTCACCAACACATAACACCTTTAGAAAATAAAAGATTTTAGTTCATCAATATTCTTGCTCACATTGGTATTCTTTTATCCTGCTTACTTGGCTAGGTGAGACAGCAGATTGTATTCAACCTCCAGAAAGTAGATGTATTTCTGAGGAAGGTGGTGGTGTGTGCAACAATGGAACATGCTTTTCATGCAATAGCACAAGAGAAGCTCATGCTGAAACAGTGAGAGGGACAATTCTAGTGAGCCCACAACTTATATGATTAATTATGCAGTAATAGTATCTTTTATATATGCTTTTATTCATTTATCTCCCACATGCAGATTCCTTGCAGAACAGCAATGAGAGGGAGTTTCCCTCTCAATGGCACATATTTTCAGGTCAATGAGGTATTAAATAATATCCTTAATTTTGTCATAAGATCCTTAATTTTTTCAGGTCCAATATAAATGATGACAAGTGTATTTTGTTTTGTGCAGGTTTTTGCGGATCATGAATCCAGTGTGAACCCTATACATGTGTCAAGGAATTCAATTTGGAACCTGCCAAGAAGGACAGTTTTCTTTGGGACATCTGTCTCATCAATTTTCAAAGGTAATCAAAAGAAAACAAAATATCAATAACAATAAAAACAAGAAGTGACCTCAAGTTTTTACCTCTGCTTTTGCTAGGCCTATCAACTGAATATATTCAATACTGCTTCTGGAAAGGTATAATAAATCAAAT